GGAGTATGATTATTTGATGTCCATTAAAGGGATTCGACACATACTGATTTGAACCATTACCAGAATACTCAGGTCTTTTCTTTTCCGGACGTATATTTGCATGCAATATTAGCAACGCGCACAAGAATACCGCTAATGTTCAACACCTCCACAATCCTAAGATGCAAAGCAAGTGGCGACTGAGCGAGTGACCGTCCGCATCTTTCCATTGCGTTCATCAGAATTCCACACTTTTTTTGCCTCTGTGTCATTGTAGATACAGTTTACGTGTTCCATATCGACTCTTGCAGTTCCACAAGGAATATCGCAGGAGGTAAGAACGAAGTGTATAAATTGAGAGACAGATCAAGTCGACAATCGCTCAGATCGGACTGAATTGTGAGTCACGAAGTCATACCGTGCTCCATCGATATGATTTGAAGCCATTTGAAAGTCATTGCACCTCCGTGAATGCACTTTGTGTTCGACAAAGAAGTGGTCATCCGGCTCCTTCAAGAGCGAGCAAAAAGAGTTTGACGTCCGAAGCAAAACACTGCGACGATGGTATGACAATGTATAAGTGATCTTGAGAGGAGCAAGGCAAGGATTAATGATGCATCTCCCCATCTAAGGTCTGTGCATTGATCATTGCCTTCCATTAGCCAAATTACTGTGCAAGTGTCAAAAAAGAATGCCACACATGATTGGAAGATGTGGTACCCAAACTTTGCCCTATGAATGCATGTCATTGGCGTTGTCCGCCGGTCTGTCCAGTTCAAAGTGCGTCGGATACAAACATGATCATACATACTCTTGGCGCAAAAAGTGGTGTGAGAAAAGCCATTGAGACCTCATTCAGGTTATGAATCATTGAGTTCAAGGACTCGGTTGCAAGGGAGTAGCCGAAAGCCACGCCTTTGCGCTCCATGCGTGGTGTAGGAAGCCATTTGCACAGCAACAACAGATGCTGGGTGATGCGGGCAAAAAGGGTGGGGAATGGGAAGTTGAACCGGATATTCCAGCATCATGTTCGATCGTACACTGGGCTTCACTCCTGTTCGGTTTCCGTCATTCAATGACGGTGGCGGATCAGACAGAATGGAGCTCCAACAGAACAGTCAGCGGGTTTGAGAGGCCATAACCTGCACAAAAAAGATCACGGAACACGAAGCGGAATGTTCCAGCAAGTACTTCGACAACTTCCGTTGCGAACATCCATGATATTTGAGGATCTCAAGTTCGCTGTTGTGCTGACTGTGAAGCATCCATGTTCAAGGAATGATGATGACAGCCGAAGGTACAAAAATGAATGAGATTGACCACCACAGACTATGTCACCGCAAAGCGGAGTGAATGCCTCACACGGCGACGTGCGCATCACCTACTCTTCATAGCATGGAGACGTAGACTCTGCGTCAAAGTCTCCAATCTCGCCCAATCTCATCCGATGAGGAGCCCTTTCCTCATCTCTCCAACCTTCCCCTGTACCAAAACCTCAATCTTGCTCCACTGTTTATATAGTGACATTGGCTAGTATGTCAAATAGGGAAAAAAAAGAGGCCAAATGTACGACATGTACGGGAAAATTGATAATGTGGATGATGGCCAGTCTGGCTACCTACATCTCCGACCGAATCCTCTTCCAACATTTAGCCTCCGTGGTGCCTGCATCAGTTGCGGTTCGCTTCTGCTATCCGATGGCGAAGCTTCTAAATGATGGAAAGGTAGAATGAAGCTTTGGTACCACCGTCAACGGATTATTCAGAACATTTTTTATGTGGTACAAAAAGTTCACTGCGAGCCGCTCAAGTCAGTAGTTCCTGGCAGCTATTGGTAGCTCAGCTGCGAAATGCTGGGTCCATTCATGATCAAGACCCTCCGATACACAGCAAACCATAATTGTGGATGTTGACTGTAAGACGGAAAAAGAGGTGGGAAAAGGTGGCCTACTTGACGTTGCCCATGGGAGGTACATGGCCCCTGGGACAAGACGGTAGACGGTCCCATTACTAAGTTATTATGGAGCGTGCGAATATGTTCCTTAAGCAGCCGGTTTGAGAATTGTCCACTCAAATTCACCCTGATAACGCTGATGCCCAACGTCGTCCTGCGTCCTGACAGATAGAAAAAAAAAAAGACGACCAAGCTTTGCAAACACTCTATTCCGTTGGACACGAACGACTTCTCAACCTGAGCGAACGCAAATAGTGATTTCATGTATTGGATTGAAACTTGCTTTTGCGTCATGAAAAACTAGATTCGTGAAGGAGAACAATTCGTAACTTGGTAATTAATCAGAATTCTGCGACGTAATTTCCTATACACAAAATCGAAAGAAGTAAGCGACATATGCAACGACTGAAATGAAGCAGATGGACTCTAAAAGGTAGATCGAACACCAACCTGGGAACTGTCCCGTCCTCCCACCCAACCTCCCCGTCCACCAATCATTCACATCAGCCGTCCGGTTCAAAATCTCAATCTTATCGTCCCTCTTGAACGACAAATCTCCCTCCGCCTGCGCATCAAAATCATACAAAGCAACTACATACTTCCCCCCACCCGGCGTGATCCCTACCGGCGGTTTCCCCGATGACGGCCCCGCCGCTGCAACCGGCATCGTGCTCTGATGCAAAGCCCCAAACGCCCCCGGCTGAATCCTCGACCCGCCCGCCTCCTCATACGAAGGCAAATGCGGTTCCGACCGTCCCCCACCCAACGCAGTCTGATCCGTCGGCGAAGTATCCGAAGGTCCGTAACCCTCATCACTTTCCCCTTCCTCCGCCTTGAGAGGACGCCGAACCACCGACAAAGACGCCAACATCTCCGTCATCCCCAACTCCTTCCTCGCAAACGAATCCTGCGGCGCAACCCTCACATCAATATTATTCGCCTGCGCCAACTCCCTCAAAGCACTAACAACCGCCTGTGTAACCCTCAACTGATACTCATAAAGCGTCTGAAAACACGGATCCATAAACGCAATCCTCAACCCCAAAAAAGTCGGCAACTGACTCTTCAAAAGATTATTAATATTATTATACTCCCTCGCGGCCTGGTCGAATTGCGTTTCCATTTTGCCGAGGTTTTTCTCGTCGCCGACGGTGCGGTCGGGCTTGTCTTTGAGTTTTTTCACGGCGACGCGGTGGCGGTCGTAGTCGACGAGTTTGTTTTGGCGTTTGGCCATGAGGCGTTTTACTTGGTCGATTAGGACTAGGTAGTCTTGGGTTGGGGCGATGACGCGGCGTTCGATGGTGTCGAGGTCGGGTTGGATGGATTCGCGGATGGCGATCATGCCTGAGGCGAAGGATTCGGCGGCGCGGAGGGATTGGGGGTGGGGTGTTTCTGTGGACTGTGAGCAAATGTGATTAGCCTTGATATTAAGATCAGATGGTCGGCATTCACCATTCCGTTTCCAGCCTGATATCATGTGCATTACAATTTTCCGATCCGAGGTCATCGAAGCACCCTCGAAAGCCGTGACTGATGCCAGGAATGGAATCGTTCCCCAAAGATCGGTCCGTTTTCCCCTCACACGACTGTCTAACTGTCTCTTGCGTTTCCCACCAAGGCCAATTTCCTTATCCATCATGGCGCCATACTCACCGTTGCTCTCATACTCCCAACAGTCCCCCGCCTCTCCAACCCACCCTCCTCCTCTCCTCCCATCTCCTCCCCAGTCACACCCGTCCCAGGCGCAGGCCCATATCTCGCCGTCGTGACCGGCTTATAAACATCCACCAAAGTCTCTGCAAAAGACGCCTGGTGAGCCAGCGTTGCACTGAGCGAGTCCTTGAACTTCCGTGCGTCGTCGTGCAACTTCTTGGCGTACATTTCGAGGTTTTTGAATTGCGACTCTAGTTCGAGGTATTCTTGGTCGACTGTTTCGTCGCTGTAGCCGGTGCGGGCGGCTATGCGCTGCGGGAGGCGGGCGACGGCTTTGGAGAGGCCTTTGAAGGACATTGGGTGGAGGTTTTGGCTGTGAACGGGGAGATGGAGATAAGTGGTGGTGGTAAATTGCTGCTGCTGCTATAGTTCTAAAATTGGGTTTTGTTGCTGTTCGTTTTGGGCGAGCGCTGGAGATATGGTATTCAAGTTCTCAGTGTGGGAAGAATTGGAAGATGAAAAGAGAAGTGGACAGTGAACTGAATGAGCAAAACCTTTGCAATGGGGGTATTTGCTTTGGGCAGTGCGATGGGTGCGATGAGGCAGTGAGGCGAAGCCGAAAGTTGCATGATGACGAAATGCCGGCCAAGGGTGGTTGCTGATGTAAGCATGCCATGTGGGAATTGTCACAGTGACTCACATCAATCCGATGATGCTATAAAGAGTATTAATTAAAGACCGTCATCAGCGTCCTGCTTCCTCTACTTCCTCTTTACCTTCCATCTCTTTCGTGCCTCATCCCCATCCTCGTTGTCGTGCTTTTCCCCCGCCCTCGGTTTTACGCTTTCCCCTCTTCTCGTTGTCGCGCCTTTCCCCTCCTCGTTTTTTCGCGCCTTCCCCCTCCTCGTTTTCGCGCATTCCCCCTCCTCGTTTTCGCGCATTCCCCATTCCTCGTTGTCGCTCCCTCTCCCCCATTTCGTTGTCGCGCCTTTCCCTCATCCTCTCTTTCGTTCCTCATCCATCCATCCATCCATCCATCCACTCGCCTTAGCCTTGTCACCAGCCCGCGGGTCGAGCATTCAAGTCCCTACTTGCGTGCGCCCACAGGATATCTTTTCATTCATATATCCTCACCAACTCCCCTGCGCAAGTACGAACCTCAGGGCCTCTGATTGCGCCACGTCTGCCTTGTTACATCTCCCACTATGATCAATCTTGGTTCCCTTACACCGCTTTTGGTTGGCGTGTCTGGGTTCCCTGTACCATTAATCCCATGGTGCTCTGGCCTTGCGGGGCTGGACATCGCCGGTGTTCATAGTATCTGCGAGAGGTGTGGGTGGAAGAGGTGTTGGGCTCGCGTTGCCGTCAAGCTAATAAGCATCAGTCGTTATTTTGTTGCTACGACAAACTCAATTGGACCTGTAGCTTAATGTAAAGCGCCGTGCCCTCGTGGACGGCAGTTACGGGTTCAAGTCCCGTCAGGTCTTTGATATTCATATTAAATCAAAAACAACCACCCCTGCTCCGGGAGCTTTGTGTGGGTTCGACTCCCGCCATGGGGTTTATATCAAACGTCTCTTCTGTGTGCTGGTTCTGAAATGGTCAAGGGATTCTGATGACAACACACCCTGCCAAATACAAGTAATACATATGAACACGGGGTCAACCAATATCGCAGCATCGAGCGACAGGGCAAAACCATATCCTCTGCCTATATACACATATGACCCACGTATAATACAAATCGAAAACTATGAAACTTCCAAGTACACACTGCAGCAAGGAATGAAGACGCTAAGCACTATAAACAACAAAAAGACTACATCAATCTCCACAATTACACAGGCACGCGAGAAGCGCCCGGTATGCCAAATCATTAACCTTCCCGCCACTGGTTATGGCAATCAAAACATTTATGAAAGATGGTTGATGGTTCGTCGGCAGAGCGGATTTGGATCATCATGTAGTACGCTTCGTGGTGGCCACAGCGGGGACAAGTGGCTATTTTAATGAAAATGGGGTGATATGAGAATCATCAGAGGCACTCATACAGCTCAAAAGACGACAGGAATGAAGTCCTTACCAGGCGTCTTGTCAATATTTTCCCACGCCGCAGCACCGCCCAAGATATCATCAACTTGTTTGCGCTTGTAGTCTGTTCGTGTTGTTATTTCCTGTGATAGTGGAAGCAGGTCAACCTCAGTGGTATTCACGCTCGACACAGCCAGTCCCGTTCTACCTTTTGTATCTTGCAGACATACGGCCAAGTTTGGCAGAAGAACTCGTTGGTGAATTCACCTTGCCGGACGAGGAGAAGGTTTGCGCACGACGGACAGAAGTACATGACTTCGACTTGTTTTCGAAATGAGAGGAGAAGAAGACTGGGAAAAGAGTGGGAAAGGAGGGGAGCAGGTGGGTAGGCAGAAATGTCTCAATCAGGCATTTGATCAGGCTAAAATTAACACGTGTCAACAACAACGCAAGCCACACCTGGGTGGACACCCTGCCACCTTCCACTCTGTTGTTGTTCTCACTTCCACAATTTGTTGACCAATGAGTATCCACCCACAAAGATGCTACGAACAAGACCTACACGAACAAGCGAGAACTCCAGCACAACAACCACAGACCACCATGCCACCTCCACCCTCCCGCAGCACATAACACGCGCCCTAGACCACCTCACCCGCACCGAACTCCGACTGCAATCTTCCATCGCAGACTTAGCAGAGTCAAATGGACCCGTGGCAGAAACGGCGAAGCTGACAGAGGACATACGAAGGGAGATGAAAGGGCTTTTGAAGAATATTGAGGTGCCTTCTTGAAGAAAAGGTCGTGGCTGGCGTACATCGAGAATACGTGGGTTTGACGCCGCTCTGTTTAGGACTTGAAACTCGCAGCCGACGAACAAGACCGAGACCAGGACGTCAAATTGATTCTCACGAAGCTAACGCGTCATGAGGAACAATATAGACAGTAATGTATTTATGGACCATTATATTGTGCTTGATGAGCCCTTGTCAACCGGCAGGCGCCTGAACACCACCACCATAACCACAGACTCCAAATATCCCTCCGAAAAGCCTCCCTATCCGCCAAAAAGAACATGGACGCCGCCGCGCAGAAGGAACGCGAAGACCTACTAAAAGGAAGCGCAGAACGGAGGACGGAGCGGATATCAAATTTGCAGTTCGTATCCTCCTTGTGGCTCAATTTTACGGACTCCACCCTAACGGGACCCGTAGGGGCAACGAATCCCTAGTAAGCACCAGCAACGAACTCACCGACTCTCTCCGCCAAGCCGTGCAAATGATGTCCGCAGAAGTCGAACGTTCCGCCCAAACCGCCAAATCAATCGGTAAGAAGAACTGCCTCGTTACCCTCAAAACTTCCTTTGCGCACACCAATACCAACTACCACATGACACAGAGGACTCAACAACAATCCTCCGCCAAACCAACACCGAATACCGTAACTTCCAATCCATCCTCGGCACTTCCAAACGCCTCGTCACTCGCCTCAAGCAGCGGGATTGGACGGATAGGTTGTTGCTCGTGTTTGGCGTGTTGGTGTTCTTGATGAGTGTTGTGCATGTTGTCAGGGGGCGTATTCGCATTTGGGTGCCAGGTTGGAATATGATCATGGGGAGGTGTGGGGAGGGGAGGTATGTTTGTTTGTGAGGGATTTGGGGGGGATGTGCCGGAAGTTTAGGATTAGCGGGTAGACATCTCGTATGTAGCTTTACGCAGAAGCTCAAGCAAAGGCAGCCTCGTGATGATAGCCATTTCACACAGTAAACAAAGCGCAACCGTCGCAAACTTGCATTCTATTCCCTTTCTCCCCAGCTCGCGATGCCTTCCCAATCCAAACCATTACAACATACCCTATATTTTACACTTTCCCCACATGCATCCCTGCCCACCGCCAAATGCAAAATCAACTGACATGATCCCTCCTCGCCAGCACCGCCTGCAGCGCCAGCCGATTCTTATACACCGGCCACCGGCTGAAGGACGCGCACGGCGTCGGCAGCGCAAGGGGTTGCGGTTTGTGCTCTATGATGGCCTTCAAAACCATTTGAACTTCTTCCTCTTGCGTCATGGGTTGTCCGCCTGGGAAGGATGGTGCTGCGCCGCCGGGCCGGGATCCGGGGCCGAATTTGTTGTCTCCTGATGGGGCGTGCGTATCAGCATGAAGTTGCGAGGATGTAACGAAATGCAAAGGCAGCAAAATGTATGGGGATAATAACGTACCTTTTGCGCCAGGTCTAGCGCCGCCCGTCCGTTGGGTATTGTAATCGCTCACGAGCATGTCGTACTGCATTGACCGTCCGGGTACTGCGCGCTTGGCGCTCACGGTGTGGATCTTGCAGGTGATTGACCGTGTGCATTGCAGGCCGTTGTCCAAGAGTACGCCGCAGTTCTTGTCGAGATCAAGAGGTGCTGGGGTAGGACATAAGTTTCAGACGCCTTCCACATCTTCGCGTTGGCGACAAGCGAATTTACCTTTTGCTTTGCCCTGCACCTTGCTCAATTTTGCCTGCTTTTCTGGACGTTCTGGTAGTCCGCTCCCGCTTCCTGCTTTTGATTTATCGATGTTAAGCACATAGATAACGTGACGACGTCCGTCGTGCGGAACTCACAATGGCGTCTCACCCTGGGTATCTGGTGCTTCGTCGACCTTCTTTCTTTTCTTGCCCATCGGGACTTTCTCCGGTTTTGAGGGTTGGGTATATTGTTGGGGATGTGCTGCTTTGCAGATTTCTGTGGGAGAAGGAAGTCAGGATGATGCGACTTCATCCATATTGAGGAGAGTCTGCCGGGACAGCAGAGGCACCAACCAAGATGATCCATGAAGGCTGTTTGTATCAACGATCGATTGCATGTGTTGCAAGTGACCAGGACCATCTCATCAGCGATGGGAATGAAGACGCGCCTTTGATTCCCTTGTCCGCTAGGCCCATCCGCCGGGGTTTCCTCGTCCGTTTCTGCACATGATGTCAATGGATGCTGATGAGTGCAAATGCATCAATGCACATTGTACCTCCACCGTCCTTCCAGCCCATCGATTGCTTGAATTGGTCCCATGATTGACCTTCCTTTCCTTTGAGATAGGACATAGCTTGCGCGGGGATGTGGAGGCGGAGCACAGGCGGAACCCCCTTTGGCAGGCGTACAATTCGAGCAACAAAATGCGACTGTAGTGTGTGAAATGTGAGAATTTCATACTTTCACAATGAATTTCCCAGTATGCAAAACGTGCGGCATAGGGGTCCTCCTAACCTACAGTTTCACTTGTCCAGCTTTTTCACCATTCAAAGACGTCAAACCAAGGGCATCGGAGTTTGGTTAATGCGGGTGCAGTGACTTCATAGCGGGGTGCTGCAGCACTTGCCACAATGAGAACGGGTTCCCTTTCACTTGCAAAATTTGTTTGACAGCTGTCGAGACCACTTTCAGGGTGCAAATCTGCAGTGGGGTCCTGTTTAGAACACCCTATCCGCTGTACGCGCTCAACACCAGTGTATACGACGGTTTCAAAGCAATTTCAACCACTTCTTTGACACTTACGGTATCGGTTATTGGTGGGTTGTCCTGGGCTCTATCACAACTTGGATAGCGTCCCTATGGGTGTATAACACAGATGACAAGAGCGTGGGAAAAGGTGGACTGCATCAGGCACCAGTGCACCATGAGCTGGGCCAAAGTTCGGAGGTGCCCGCTGTGACACTCGCTGTGGCGGCTCGCCTGTTGGGTGGCTTGGAAGGAGGTGCGTTGGCACGTGATTGGGCCGCTGATTGACTGCTCGTCCCACGTACTCAACACACCAACCTTTTAAAAAATTTAGAAGCTTCTCCCTCCCAAACGGTCCAAACCTCGAAAATTCCGACATTCTCTACTCATTACTAGGTCCACCTACAAGTATGACATTACCCGCGCCCAAAAGAAGCGAGTTGCAGTGGACCGACGAGGAAGACGTGGAGCTCTTCAACGGCGTGGTGAAGGTGGGAGTCATGTCAGCTGCTCCAGGCTGTGAACGGTGAAGTCTCACAAACGCGTCACCTCAGCACGGAAAGAACTGGACGGCTATAAGAAAGGACGAGGATTTCGACATTCTGCCGCAGCGGACAGCTGTTGACTTGAAAGATAGGTGCGTGTTGGATGACTGCTTGGGTGGAACTCCGGCTGACGGATTCGTTAACAACCGTTGACAGATATCGATCACGTTGGCCGGACAAGTTTTATTCTCTGAACCCTCCACATCAACAGACAATAGCAGCAGCCTCGCCGCCAAAAGCAGCTCGAGTGAGGCGACCCTTCTCAGATAAAGAATCACTGTACCTCTTGTTCGGCTTCCTGAAGGTACATTTCAGGTCAGTTCACGCAGGTTTGTCACTGAAAGCTAATTCACAATGTTCACAGTACGGCCATCAATGGGCGAGAATCAGCGAGCACATACACTATCCATTCAATGCCTCCAACCGCAC